ACATCATTACTTGTTTATTTATCTTTTATTTATAGCATTCTTATTTGTCCCTATAATTGTACATTTTTATATTAAGTGCCTTCTCTCTTGCATCTATTCTTTATATTTTACACTACTTTGTCCAATGGGGATGCAGCCAAGTGTTGTAGACTGGTGCTGCAGAATCACAAAGAACTGTACCAAATAACAGAAACCACATCAATTGAAGACTGCCAACAGTAGCAACAAATAAAATGGAAAGCACATGTAACTTGAAGAAAATATAATGATATAATTAAGATATTGACATTCCACACTACTTTAGCTTAGGCAGGAGACCCTCATCAATACTGTAAAGAGCAATAACAGCTACTGAACTCTTCCTGAAAAATTGTTTTAAGAGAAAGATTTTATAAATTTCAACCAAAAGCAGTACTGGCTTCTTGATCAATTAATGTCAAATGTTTTCTTAAAGGGAAACAGCTTATATTACCATTACTATATAGCTCTTGTGTCTTCCAATCTGCTGTACTGGATTAGAAGTGGCATCAAAACAAAAACAAAAAAATTAATGCTCATTAATTATTTTTTATTATCTAATCAAATAAGAACATTCTAATGCTTTTTACTACTTTATGGGACATACTCCCGAGAGGATGCTTCCCTGATCACTATAATCTTAACTTTAAGTCTAGAGTCAACCCTTATCTGTTCTAAGAACCAATAATGATAAAGTATTGATCCATTGACATATAGGGGTTTTTCTTCTCCCAGATTAAGGAATGGTTGATTTTCTGGTTATCAGAGTACAGAAGTTGAGTGTGGGGCCAATCACTCCACCCTACATAAAAATTCAATTACAGAAACCTCAATAAAAGGCCTTGTGACATGAGGCACCAGGCAGATAGCACACACAGAGAAATTATTCTATTAGTTATTTCGTCATACATAAATATGGTATATTACAGCTATTTAAATGTTAGGTACTTATTAAATGATTAAACGTGTGGGCATGTGGTGGGGGCATCAAGATTTACTTAGATCTGTGTTACCAGCTTGGTTGAGTTTTAAAACTCAATGCTTCTCAATTTTTAATTTAGCTATTTTTGACATTTGAGTTTTACTTTTTAAAATAAGCTGAGCTAACTTGGGTTACTAATGATGAAAGTCAATTCAAAATTTAGCACCATAAGGCTTTCATATGTCACCAAATTCATTACTTGTAGCCCAATGTAGCAGCTTTAACTTATAACAAATGATTATATTGAGTTTTGGGATCTATTTGTTAAAGTAAAAATTTCATATTTTTAAATTATTCCCAAAATCAGACCAAACATTAGAACTTTTTTGAATTCCTTAGTCTATTTCATCCTTTTGTGTGTCAAGTTCAGATTATTGAAGTCATTCTTTATATTACTTTTGTTATTACATTTTGGTGGTATGTCTGAAGTCTGCAGAATGGACTGGCTGAAGTGCTAATAACAAAAACATCAAGTTGTTTGATGGGACAGTAAAATTCATTTGACCTTTTTGAAAATTTAAAATTTTTAAATATTACATGGTGTAAGATTCTAACTTCCCTTTATTAAAAAGGGCAAATATACTTCTTTCTATTGTTTATGAATTAGTAAGAAATGATGATGATAATAATAATAATAAAAAATATATTTCTGTTATCTGGATACATTGGGATGGGTTGAAAATAAAATAAAATTCCAGATAATTGAATAACTAAATTATTGAAAAAGAATGATGAAAAAAGTGATTTTCTGAAATAAACTTAACATTTATATTATCAAATAACATTTTCAAATGCTTTGCTCCATTTTGTTTTTGAGGAAAAAAATGCATCAGTTTTGTCTGTTTCTGGCCGGCATCGTATTTTTTTGCCATTAACTCATGAAGTTGGATTAAGGTAGTTGTATTTGTAAAGGTAAATTCTGGTTGAAAGCACAACCAACTTAAATATTTGTGTTAAATGACTATGCTATGTGCTAGGCAAACAAAGACATTCCTTTTCTCATTGAAGCATGGTTCATGTGTGTCATGCACATCTGAATTGCATAAGCCATAATCTCTGGCGTGACCAAACTGTGATAATTCAAAGGTATGTTCACTGTATGAAACTGACAGAAAATTAACAAGAATTAATTGAATTGATTTTATCAAAATTTAGAAAACCATACTCAATGTTTGATAAAAATGTAAGGTTTTCTAAATTCTCAAAATGCTTGTCTGCCATAAAACATTACAATGGGTTTAGTTTGGATAAATGAAAAAATGTTTGGATGATTCCAATTGTTCTCTTCATTTCATGTCTGGATAATCAAATTCTGGAAAATTGAGGTATGAATAATCATGGAAATACTGTATTATGTGCCCTATATGTTTTCACACTAGCATGCAAGTCTTTTGAACAAGAGTAGAGGTTTATCCCTTGTTTCGTATTTAGGATTGGGTTTCCGGCTCCTTTTAAAGTATATTTCAACTCTATCCTTCTAATGTCTTCACCTGAACTCTGAAATTTGATTTATTATTTGTTTATTTATTTTTACTCAATAAGAGTGGATAGGTTTGCCTAACTTTCAGTTCACACTCCTGTATGCTTTTTTGAACCGGATTAGAGGTTTATACTTTGTTTCTTGTTTAGGATTGGGTATCCAGTTTCTAAAGTATTTTCATTCTCTACCATTCCAAGTAGCTTCTTGTGTGTTAGTGTCATTATTATCTTGCTTGGGGTGAATTGATAAAACATAAAAATAAATATTATTAATCCTGGAAATTTTGTTTGAGTGTGTGTCTTATCTTTTATTTTTCCATGTAAAGAATTTCAAATTAAATTAAAATATTACTTGATGCCAGAACCTTTTTTCTTCATGCCGTTTCTTAATCATTTTTTATAAATATTTTCTTTACTATTTTTTAAAATTTAAGATTTTTCCTGTTTCTTCAAGAAGACATCAGAATATTGATTCTTTTTTAATTAGGATATATTTATTTGGAATAAATGTTAGTTTCATTGAAATATTTATGTAGGTATGCTGAAGTGTTCTTAATCTAACCAAGGAAAGATTTTAAAAGATTCTGATGATATGTTATTTGGTCAGGAGTTAGGCTAAAAAATTTTTCATTATGCTATTTTAATGTTTTCTTAAATTCTCTCAGGAATTATTTATGCAACATTTTTTTAATCATTTCGCTCCAAGCAAGGCAATAAAGCCATTAAGATGCAAAGGGTTACTGAGTGTGAAAGAATATGAGAAAAAGAAAAACATTAGAATGGAACAATAAAAGAACAGTTATTAAGAAGAAAGATGATAACAAATGATATTGCATTTGAAATTTTGAAGATCAAAGTTAACTAGAAAGCAAGAAACCAGAAAAGAGTTCCACAAGTGAAAACTGTTAGAGAAAAAAATCGTTAGCATAGATCTTAGTTACATTTAGCGATTTCAACTGTAAAATGATGAGACCTAGCTGCCAATCTAGTACTGCAGTTAAATTCATAATGTTAAGATACCAAAAAGGAGGGCTTTTCAGAACAATTACCATGAAAATATTTATAGAAAAGTCACAGGAAAGCCATGTTACTGTGGTGGGAATGTGACTGAAACAAAGATGCCAGGTCAGGACCAATAACATCGTAGATTCTTTTTTGGATTTTATCAAGAATCTCTAAATGTAAGCACTAGACCTGATATAGTAGTAATATTCAATGCATGGACAAAATGTGTAAAATAGATTATGGCAAGAAAAATTGTTATATATTATTTTTTTTATTACTTGATTAAGCCACATTTATCAATTTTACTGAAGAGGTAAAAATTGAAAATGAAGTTGACATTTTATGATAAATTTTGTTAAAAAAACTAGTGCATGTTATATTTAACACTATTATACATAAATGGCACATTTTTGGTGGTGTTCAAAGTGAGCATGCATTGCATAACAAGAGGTTTTTTTCCATGAAGATGATAATCACAAATTTTCAGAATTAAAAATTCTAAGAATAAATTTGTTTAAGCAGTTGAATATTTATACATATATTTTTCTAATTTAATTTTTATTGTTTCTGTCTCCAAAACTTTTTTTTAATACTCTCTGATATATATTAAATGTTATGGGTATTGTGTGTGTGTATATATATATATATATATATATATATATATATATATATATATATATATATATTTATAAAATTAAAATGGACATTGCAGCACCAAGCAATGACAGTATGTTTCATGCTTGAACCTAATCTTCATAGCCTGAATATTGCATTTAAGCATAAAAGAGACTGTCGCTGCTAAGTGTTGACTTCAATATCTGCTTTAATATTTACATATACTCTCTCTGCATATATAGCATACCTTAAAACCATATTTTTATCATATAGTGTGTATGTGTATGAAGACTATAGAAGTAGCTGAAAATTTTATAATTTCCTATTTATAATTTATAACTAAAGAAAAATATTAAAATATATATATATATATACAAAGGATATCTTTGTCATTACTTATGTAATTAAAGTGATTTTCATTTTTTTTATATTTATCATCTTTTTATTGTCTTTTAAAATTTAAGCTTTTAATTTTTTTATTTGTGGGGAGATTTTTTTTCTTTTCTTTTCTTTTCTTTTTATTGCTTCTTCTCAGTTATCCAGTTACTTTTTTAACTGTTAAAACTTATGAACTTATTTATTTTGTCTACATTATATTTTTAGCATTTTTTTTTTATTTCAATTTAATTTTTTTCTGAATGAGGAAAAGGACAGCAATAAGAAAGTGAATATATTTTATGATATTATGTTATGTATAGAAGTACATTCATGAAAATATTGAGTTTTAAATCTGATTATACAAAGCAACATTAGGTAAAGTAATTTAATATATTTTGTTGTGATAGAACTTTAATATATTACAGATTTTTATAATCTGCAAACTTATTAATTTATAATCTTTCCCTTACTTATCTGTGTTTTCTTGTTTCTTCTGCAGTCGACATCAGGAACAAATTATCCAATGTTTACAATTGAACAAATTGAACTCATTCGCCGATTACGCAACAGCGGCATTACCAAGGAACAAGTAGTTGAGGCTTTTGAACGCTTCGACCGGATTGACCAAGAACTCGGACATCTGTACACCGTTCCCTCCAGTAGTGCTTCCCCAACTGTCAACCAACAATCTTCTCTACAGGCGCCATCTATTCCATCGGCGTCAGTTGGTCAACCCCCCCTTGCACATTCATCAAACAGTGCTAGCCATGGCCACTCCATGCTGCTTTCTCGATCCAATGGCCAGTACCCACTCTATTCCGGCTCACGGCCTTCATTCTCATCATCCTCACCTCAGTCAGACAATGGACAGTCAGACCTCAAACCTCCGAGCAACAAGCGCCCTCGTGAGGAGAGTACTGAAACTAACCATGAAGAGTCAATGCAGGAAAGTAATAACCACATTCAAAGGGCGCATAACTCTGTGCACAATTCCATGTCTTTAGTGGGCCCAAGATCACTTTCTTTTTCAGAGAACCATTCATCTTTGAGTGTGAATCAGAATTCAACTATGCCAAATTCCATAACAGGACCTCATAATTCTCCAGTGTCACGGGTCAACGATTCTATTGCCGCCATGTCCAGTAGCGGGATGGAGGATTCGCAGTTAGGGTTAAGCCTGGAAAATAATCAGGAGGTTGAAGTTGAGGACCTACAAGAATTCATGAAGTGAGTTAAGTTTCTGCTTTCAACCTTTTGCACAAACTCTGTTTCTTTGTGTGTGTCTTATTTTCTTACTTATTTCTCAATGCATGTCTCAGTCTTCTTATCTGTTTATATGATATCTCTCTCTTTTTCATTACCCATTTTTCATGTCTCTCTCTTTTTCATTACCCATTTTTCATGTCTCTCTCTTTTTCATTACCCATTTTTCATGTCTCTCTCTTTTTCATTACCCATTTTTCATGTCTTTCACATTGCCTGTTTTTGTGTGTGTCTCTCTCTCATATGACTTGTTTCTGCACATCTCTCATATCCATTCTTGTGTATGTGTGTCACTCTCATTCCCTATTCCTCTGTGTATGTGTGTCTGTATGTGTATATATATATATATATATATATATATATATCTCACTCTCTCATTACCCATTTCTCTGTGTGTGTATATATATATATATATATATATATATATATATAATGTCTCTCACTCTCTTGTTACCTGTTTCTGTGCGTTTATGTCTATATCTCTCATTATCTTTTTACTTGTGTGTGTCTGATGTTCTCTCATTTTAGGATCAGAAGCATTTTATTGAAATCTATTGACTTGATTTTGCATATTCAGTCAGGCTTGAGGATCATGGCTACTGGAAAATATAAACTTCATGGCAGAAACACTTTTAAAATTGTAAGCGCCATTATCTAACCTTTAGAATATGTTTAATGATATGAAAAAAAACAAAGGGATATATTATCTTTTGAAATAATTTTTTATGCTATGTCACTTCAGAAAGTAGGCAATCATGGCTCTCCACAGATTCCTTTACTTTATTATCTGTGAATTGACATGACTTCTTGGGAAAGACAGTGAAGGGGTTAGCTATTGACTTCTTGGTTATTTAATTCCAAGTGATCATGGCTCTCCACAGATTCCATTTCTTTATTATCTGTGAATTGACATGTCATCTTGAGAAAGACAATGGAGTAGTTTCTTACCATCTCCATGGAGAAAGCGATGAGAAACCGCTACACTCAAAGTTGTCTCTCTTAGATTGACTACTTGTCAAGGCTAGAGAGCTTAGTCTACTCTGCATTGCTTAAGAATTTTAATTACAAGGAGCAAATTTTCATTATAATAATTATGAAAATATGGACCAAAATTGGCTGTGATTGAAAATAGACAAGATATTGAATTAGAATTTCTTTAACTCATTTGATATTGCAGAAATTATTTCATTTTGGGGGGAGAGGCTTCTTTGTTGGTTCAAGAAATTTTCAGCACCCCCACACATGTATACACCCCCCCACACACACACAAAGGAGCAGGTGAACCCAACCCACTAGTCAAATATTTTTTTTCTTCTCACTGGCCAAGAACTTTTCACCACCTTATATATACACACACACACGCACACACAGTTCATCTTGACTTTGAATCACTGGTCGGTGTGGGGGGAGATGACTAATGAGTCCAATCTTCACCCTGAAAAATCTGTTGCAGTTATGACATGAGATGCTGGGGGCTGAACCAGACTGAGTAGTGGAACCCTCTTGATCTTTCCTTCTCTATTCTTTGATTCTGCTTCTTTTCTCTTCAAAATCAGACACTACAGACCTTAGAAGGAAGTGCCAGATGGCCTGGTCCTCATCAGACTCTTCCCAGGTGGTATGGAGAATGCTACAATGCTTGAGAGACTCCTTTTAGTGTTTCTTTGTAACATTTCTTTGGTCAGCAGAGTGAGCACTTGCTTGTGGATAGCTTGCCATAGAGCAATCTCTTTGAGAGGCAACAGTCCTCCATGTGGTGGACATGGCCAGTCCACCAGAGCTGATAGTGCAGTAGGATAGCATAGATGCTCTCCATCCTAGCATGCTGGAGCACTTCAGTTGTCCTACTTGACACGAGGCAGAGTCCTGAGACATCTAATGTGGAAGGCATTGAGCTGTTTAGCATGCTAGCTGTAGACTGTCCACATCTTGCAGACATGGTAGGACTACTGCTTCCTACACTTTTAACTTGGTGTTATGGCTCAGTTCTTGTCGTTCCCAGACTTTATCCTGTAGTTTGCCGAAGGCTTGTGCTGGCAGTTCTGTAGGCCACTTCATCATCAATGTTGGGAGAGCATGACAGAGTGCTACCAAGGTAGATGAACTTGTCTGCAGCTGCTAGTCTCTGGTTATTGACAGTAATGTGAGGTTCAATGTAAGGCACAACAGGTGCAGGACTTCGACTTAGTAGAAATTGTGAGGCCGAAGTCTTTGCAGGCTTTAGAGAATAGGTCCATGCTGCCCTGCATATCAGACTGGGTACTGCCATTGAGTGCACAGTCATCAGCAAACAGCAAGTCATGGGCCATATCTTCATGTACTTTTGTCTTTGCCTGCAATCTCCGAGGGTTGAATTTACCGTCAGTACGGTAGTGGATACCTACACCGATGTCTCCATCTTGGTGATGTGATATGGAGGTACATCTTTGGGATCAGCAGACAGTGCATCCATGATGTCTTGTTGCATTTGAGCAGATGGAAGACTGTGTTGGTGACGGGAAGACCATAAGCAGCACAGGACTCTAGAAGAAAGAGACTTGCTGTTACACTTGTCCATGCCATGTTTTCCTATCACTCCCTCCCATGACATATAATCTTTGCCAACATGGGTGTTAAAGTGACCAATAATAATGAGCTTGTCTGCCCTGGGCATGACTGAGATGGTGTCATTCAGATCCTCATAGAATCTGTCTTTCACGTTATCAAATTTAGTAATGGTGTGGGTGTATGTGCTGATCAGTGTGGCGAACTTCTTCTTGGGTAACAGGAGGCAGAAGACAATCACTGATCTCTTTCAGACAAGCCACCAGCATGTTAACCAGGTTGGACATGATGGCAAAGCCAACTCCTGTCTGGCGTCGCTTGCTGTGTCCATGTCCAATCCAAACAACATGTATAGCCAGCAGGTTGCTCTATCAGATGTCCTTCCTCTGCTAGACAGGTCTTGCTGAGGGCAGCAATCTGCAGTTTGTATCGAGCTAGTTTGCTGGTAATGATGGCAGTTTAAAAGTTTGTGCACATTCTACACACCAAACACTTTTGCTGTCACTGTAAGTGATTTTGATTTCTTTGAGTTCACCGGAATGGGACCCCTGCCAACTGCAGCAAGTTGGCCAGGGAAGGATGAGTTGGTAATTTTTAGGACCTTTTATCTAGTCCCTTCCCCAGGCTGCAAGTAGAAACAGTGTATCCTGAAAAAGGCTGCTTTGTCGCCCAGGTGGCTGCCAAATTCCAACGCTGTCTCATTCACTGAAAAGCAACCATATGTCCTGGGCCACCTATGTGTAGAGTTGTGACTGTGACTGCCAGTGCATCCATACCTGTTGCTTGGTCATGTGTCCATCACCGCAGGACTTGAGAAGGGGATGTGATGGAGATGAAGTCCTGTGCGCGAGTTGGATTTAAATAGGGAGAGTTGTGCAAGATTGTCAGCTTCACTCTCATCTCTCTCCATCTGGGTCTGGAGATGGGCCAGAGATGCAGAGGATGACCAACAGTGTTGTTTCTGTCTCACTGTGTCCTAATTGTACTGGGACTGCCTTCTTGTCCATTGAACCAAACTAGTGGTTTTGTCCACCAGGTCCAGACTTCTATTTGCTAGATGGATGTTGATGGCTCTAATGAACCTACACTCTTTGATGTATTTTGTTTTCATCTGGGTGTCTATCCACCCACATCACCAGCTCCAGAGAGGCACTGGTGGTAGTGCCAGTTTAGTTGCTGGCAACTTGACCCTGGAGCAGATAGTACTGAATTACAGGTTACCAGTAGCAGATCTTGTGACCTGACCTCTCTCTCTCACACACACACACATATTTACATAAAGTTTCTTAACATATAACATATTTTTCCTTAAACATTTACATAAAATGATAGTCCTTAAAGTTTATTATAACATTATTTAAAATTTACCCTCTTCAGGAACAATATTATATATAAGCCAATGAAGATGTATTTCTTGTGTCACATTGAGAGTGTAAGGGCAGCAGTTTTGTGAGTTCCAACAGAATTAGAACAGGCAAATGAATTTATCTTGCAATTGACTTTCAACTGTATGGAAAAATCACAGATGATAAAAAAGGATTTATGGAGAGTCATGATTGTTTACATCCTGAAGGGACATAGCATTACAACTCCTGCACTGCTGCAGACATTCACTATTCAACAACCTGACAGATCAGTTGCCCACTAGTCAAATATATGTTTTAGACAAGATGAGAAAGCCTCTATCTGCAAACATGGGTGAAAAGGGATCCATGTTTAATCAATGGAAAATTAATATGACAGAGATACAAATATAGAAACAATTTAGAATCGAAGAGACAAGTGTTTGAAATATGAATTTTTTGGTATCTGTGTCTGTCTACATCTACTCAACAGTTTTTATTAGTGTGCTTTATCATGTGAATATTGAAGAATTATTTTTTGATCTGGCATCTTAGCTTCAGTCACTTTCCCACCACCATAACATAGCTTCCCTGTGCCTGTTTGATAAATACTTTCATCACAATTGTTCTGATTGGTACCTCGACTTAGTGAAGTTAAGTGTAGTACTAAATTAGCAGCTAAGTTTCATCATTTTACTTTTGCTAAATGTAACCATAAGTTCTATTCTAATAGTTTCTTTTCTCACACTTCTTGCCTGAGGACCTAGCTTCTTACTTTCCTGTTGACGATAATCTTCAAAAATTTAAATGCAAGGTCAATCATCATCTTCTGTCTCCTTGAATCCTGTTATTTTTATTCTCCTTTTCCCCTCAGTAACATTTTCTCAGTTTCCTTCATTCTCAGTAACTCCTTGCATCTTAGTGGCTTTCATACCTTGATTAGGGTATAATGATTAAAGAAAGAAAAAATTGGAAACGGAAAGTAAAAATCTAATTCACTTTCCACCTGATTAAACCAGCAAATGTTCATTCTCATTTAAATATTATGCCTTATATATAAGTAATTCAAGTCTAGAAGGAACCTCAACAGAATGCAGAAAATACTGGACAGCCATTTCGTCCCATATTTGGGACTCATCAGCAGTGTGCATCCACTACTGAGAATTGAAACCCGAACAATAACACACACACACGTGTGTGAATATAAAAAATAAATCACACATTGTGTGCTGGTGCTAATAAAATTGTGTTTGATAATAACAGCTATAATTTATATTAGTAATAAATATTTTTCAGTCATGTAAAAAAAATGTGTATGAGATATGTGTGTGGACATTGAAGTCAACACCCAGAGGCGACAGTCTGTTTCATGTTAAACGCAATCATCAGTCTTCAATGTCCATTCTTATATTTACATACTCTATCCTTGATACTAAGCACTTTAACCTGTAAGTATAGCTTAAAACTATATATTTATCATATATATATATATATAAAATGTATTGTGTGTATATAGTTGATGAACAAATAAGATGCTTTCTTAGAAGTCTTAATACTAAGCAAATAGAACATAATACTGCTTCAACTAATCACAAACATATTAATCTCCTATATTGTAGTCAAATGCATACTAATTATAAACAAGATGAAAATATACTAAAAAAATTAGTAAATACTAATATATCTATAATAGATCCTAGCAAAAAAATTAGGTTAATCATATACTACACTAAATCTAGTATATCCAACTTAATTGTTCGCAATGATTCTTCCCCACTTCCCGTTAGTGATTTGTAAATAACCAACATAGTTTACAAATTCAAGTGCACTTTGGGAGATTGTATCTCCAATGGATTAAATAATATTTTTGTTGGTCGCACCATAAACTTGCTTTCATGATGCTTGACTCTACATTTGAATGATAACTCTAACATTTTTAGGCATTTAAAACAACATGCCTGGCCGCATACACAATTCTGGAAAATACTCATTGAAAACACAACTATACATGAAAACAATAAACAAAAACTAAAAATTCTTGAAGCTATAACATAAAACAGTTGAAACCTAACCTGAACAAATTAAACTATGAAATCTCCACAAATATTCTTAAATGCCTATAATTAATAACAGAAGCCATTGGTTTATACCAACAGCTTCCCGTACTTAATACTTCTCGTTTTCAATCTCACGTTGTCTTGTGTGACATAATGAGCTATGATGCGATTTTCACTTCGGCGTCTCGTATACACGAGTCTGTCGTTGCTTTTTTCATGCAACAAAAACAGACTATCATTATTGTTTTGTCCGTGTATTGTTTGATATATTGAAATGTAATTGTCATCTTTGATAATGCCTTATGTAAGCCAAAAGGTTAGATAGGATTAAAACATGTATCAATATGGTGATTTCCTTTCGTCTTTCAATGATAATGTTATTAAGCTTATCAGACAATATGAAAAGAACTTACTTAAAATAAATAGACAAAACTTGTCTATATTATTTAATGAAACATGCATCAATATATATATATATATATATATATATATATATATAATTTCGTGTATTGGATTAGGTGATCATTATTCAAACATATATTGTTAAATATAACAGACAACAAATGTCTGTTATGTTTGATCACACGAAACTAAGCTTAGATTGAGAACAGTATAATAAAGCAATATCCAAATGTTGGACAATTTTTTGTCTTTATTTTCTCCTGAAACTAAAACCACTATCGAAGTTTAGAATGGCTCATGATGACATATAATAGACATTCATTGTCTGTTATATTTAATAATATATATATGAATATATATATATATATATATATATATATATATATATATATATATATATATATAATATATAAATGATGTTCAACCTGTACAAGGCCCAAGATCCATTTGTGGTACAGAGTTACAGAGTAAGAGGCACAGTTTATATGGATATTTGGGGAAGATAATGGTTAACCCTAGGTTTGAACAGATTAAGATTGTAGTAATTGAGGAAGTATCCTCTTGGGAGTTGGTTCTGTAGAGCAGTGGTTCTTGGGATGAAGCATCTCAAGTGGGGTATTACATTTCACCAAGGGAATGAGGGTGGTTTGCTACAATATGCATAACATGGTGGGTCTTAGCCATAAAGGTTAGAACTGTTGGAACTAAGGAATGTAGTTTGCCTGAACACTTTCCATGGAAATGATGACAGAGCAGTGAGATGCTTGCAGTGTTTCATCTCTGAGAAAGGGTTTGTAGGGTAGAAAGTAATTCATCACCCACAAGAACATTGAGATACTTTTGGACTCAAGACTGGAAAGGGAAGACTGGGCAGCACCTGTCCATATATAACAGTAGTACTCCATTTTTTTGCCTGATCTGGCTCTTGTAAATTTGTTGCATATTGGAAGGAGAAATATACAGAAAAAAACAATTTTTTCATTACTTATGATTTACAGTTTTCCTTATCACAAGACATTTGAAAGGATATGATTTTTATAAAACTTCTGTTCATTAAAATTCTTTTTGCTTTTGCACGTTGATCCTAAAGGTTATACAGTCTTGATTCCAGGCAAGGAATGACAAAAATGTATGAAGAAATCAAAGCTTTTGTAAATCGGGTTGGACTGAAGCAATCTCAGATAGCGGCCATGACAGGTGAGTATGGCCTTTCAATTTGGTCTGTTCTTTGATTTGTATTTTGTGTGCTTTAACCCATAAACAGCGGGCAAAGGTTGCACAAATGTGCATACTAAAAAACATGAAAAATTGTTTTAAATATAAACAAAAACTTAAAAAATTATAAGCAAAAACTAAAAATTATATTTTAATTCTTAGATTATAAAAATAAAGAAAAAAGGTGTAATAATCCTTAAAGAATTCTATGTGTAATGGAGTAATGCATTTTTTTTACCAACTTGTTACCATTTTTCCCCTCGAGAAATATGTATGCAGTCTTTAACTTCTTCCAACTTTATTTGCAGACAAATACTCCAGGAAATCATATAACCTCATTAATTCTAGTAAATAGTCACCTCATGAATCTTAAAGTTGCCAATTTGTCATTTCGACACAAATTTTGAATGGATTATGCCCATATCATTGGATAAATTATTCAATGATTATATCTGTTGATCTTCAATGAAACATCAATATATGATGCTCGCTGTTTAAGAGTTAAAGTTTGTGTTATATACCTATGATCAAATTTAATAAACTAAACACTCTTATTTTATTTATAAATTAATAAACTAAACACTGATTTTATTTATAAAAATCTTTACATTTGCTTTCATAAAGACCTTCAAAGAATGAATATTTTTTATTGCCTATCATGACACTTGAGATTTATTGCATTAACATACAGCAATTGTGGCTGCCTATCATGTCACTCTGCAACATGGATTCCTCTTGTTTATTATCTGTGAATTGCCATGCATTCTTGGGAAAAGGTTTTAGTTTCCTGTTGCTTTATCCAGTTTGGAATTCAGTTTTCCTTCTCTTAGACTGGTTGCCACCCAAGGCTAGAAAATCTGGTCTATAATTTAATTGATATTTAACTCCTAGCTGGAGGGAGAAAAGATGGATTCATACCTTTCCTTAAAAACCTTTGTATGCAACCAACTAGCCTGCAATTTGAACTTGGCTCATTACTTCTGTTTTCCACTGTTACACTACCCACACGTCCCTGGGACATTATAATGTTGAAATATGATTGTCCAATTCCCACTCCTTACCAGTCCTTTTGAACAGGAGAAGAGGTTTATCACTTGTTTCCTGTTTAGGATTGGGTTTCTGCTTCTTTCTTAATTCTGCTTTAATTCTATACTTCTGACATCTCTGCCTAAACTCTGAAATTTTATTTACTTCTGTCCCCCACCCCGTTCTCAATAGGAGTATATAGGATTGGGTTTCCAGTTCCTTCTACAGTTTTTTCCTTCTCTTTCATATCCAGTAGCCCCTTGCCTTAGTGGCCTTTCTTGGGACGAATTGATTTAAAAAAAAAAAAAGAAACTCTCCAGGCCTGCTTTCATTGCTATATATGAATTCTTTTGAATCATAATCAGATTCCCTCTTAGAGTAAGAAGACCAAAAAAAAAATTTCGTACAAATCTCATCAGTTGTTCCCATGTCGTTAAGGTAAAGTTTCTTAAAACAGGCCAAACTATTATAGAGAAAAGTAACAAAAATAATGTTATAAGTGAAAATGAAAACTGATTCAATGATAAAATGTGAGACTAATTATATTAGTCTTAAAGCAAAACTTGTCTTTACAAGTTGTATTATATGTTTCTAATACTATTTTCTTTTATAGGTATCAGTCAATCTTACGTGAGTCGTTACTTACGAGGGGAGTTCACAGAAATGTCAGAACGGTGTCGAAGAGCAATGTATGCATGGTATGTCTCCCACCGACAGCGTTTAGCAAGAGCTCCACGATTTGCCTACGGTACGTTTCCATGTGAAGTTGTCTGCCCTTTGGAGGGGTTTCTGAAATAATTGTTTTATTATTCAATTTAGTTAAATTACAGATGCTTGCACACAGTTTCACATATTTTTTTTATACCAGTAGTTAAAGGTAATAATAGATACATTAGCTATGTAAATTTGTAGAATATAATTTCTTGGTAATTCTTTTTTAATTATTACTTAATTTATTACTTTAATTATTTGATTAAAAAAAATATAAATTTTTGACTAGTGTTTCTTTCATCATAATCACACCTAATCAAAAATTAATAAACATTAACAATGCTTCAGGATCTGTCTATATTTCTGAGATGAGGTATTATGTACACTATTTAGATTATTCGGACTATTGTGCTCATCTTTGTCACCATATTTATGTCCTCAAGGCACAGTGGATAAAGGCATTGGTTAGATCCAGTGACAAGACCCAAAGAGTGTGAGTTCAATACCCAGTTAAGTCAGTGGAGAACTTTCAGAGGGAAAATTAACAAGAGATAACTGATAACTGACATCCATTAAACATGGCACGTAGAACTAGAACAGTCTACCCAGTGAGTGAAATAAAGGGTTCAGTTTGACATTCCAACCACTTAAAGAAGGCCAAAGTGTACAACGGCTGAAACATAGTAATAAATATGGCGACAAAGAACAGGACAATAGTCCGAATAATGTAAATAGTGTAACAATGCTTCATCTAATAAAAATACAACTAATACTATTAGTGTAAATAAAGCAAATGAAATAGGATAAAAAAAATTACTAGTAAAAAAAAAAAAATAAGAATGGCCAAAAATGCTTCATCTGATAAAAATACAAGATTAATAAAAATTAATATTTTTAAAATATTTACTTGCTCGTTAAAAATATTTACTCATTCATATTTAACAACCCATCAAAAATATTTAGCCACACATAAAATATTTATGCACTCATTAAAATTATATTACCATCATGTACATACATGCATCAATCGACTAATATTACAGCTACATTATTGATCAGCTTGGTGTGGTGGTTAGAGCATTGATTTTATAAATTAAAGATTGAGAGTTCATTTCTCACTGAGTACTCCACAAAGATTGACACCTGAAAAATTGATGCATTATATTAAAAAAAAAAAATTATTAATATTCAGACACTTGGTTTTCTCGGTAAGAGCATTTTGAGTGGGGCGAGGAGCCTTTAAATTGGGAGGTACAATTAAGAATTTACGTACTAAAATTAGTTCACATCATTTTCATTGCCGAGTTGGGGGAAATGGTTTTCAGTAAAAGGCAACATTTCTAATAGTCTAATATTATCTATTAAACATTTATATCTTATCCTGTAAGTAACACCTTTATTAATTCCTGAATGTGGATTTTTTTTTATCTATAAATTTGAATGCCAAAACTTGTTCAAATAAATGTTAGTGTTTAAGCTTCTAACTTTTCCATCTACCAAAAGAAATGTTTACTTTATTAGTGCAAAAAATAGTTAATGCTAAGTAGATATTTAACAGTAAAGCTAGTGGACAGTGATAAGTTAAAACCTCACCAATATTTCTTGGTTTCAAATTAGTTGGACTAACATATAACTAATTGTTTCATTAAAAAACAATTAAATCTTTATTGACAGAATTTGTTGTCTTGTTATATTACTTTTATATAAGAGCTGATATCAATTTATTTGGTTTCATCTTTCTAAAGCAAACAATTTAAATTAAGTGAATCTTAAATTGATTTGAACCTCCAACCTGGAAGCAAGCAGGTAAAATGTCACTACAACTGGATGAAATTAGTTCTTGAATACAAGCAAAGGACTTTTCTTTTTTAAATAATATTTATTCATTTAAACTAATTTAAAACAAAACTAAATTCAACATATTTTAGAATAGAAACCTTTTTCAAGCTGTGGCTTGCATGAGGAAATGTTAAAAACAAAAAATAACATTAGTTCAATCAATTCTGAGTAACTCATCTTAACTAAAATCTGTGTATGTATTTCTGTCCATGTCACTGAAAGACCTCTAACTTGGGCCATACTTGCTCTACATAGACATATTATACCTTTTTGGAATCAGGATGATCCCGGGATTGAAAATCTGCCCATCATCTCGTGCTTGAACATCCAACATTAGGATTTGTGTCCAGATGAATAGAGAACAGTTAAAAATTCAAATTTTAAAGTAACTGAAAAAAAATTAGTGTTTTTTAAAAGGTTTTAATTTATATTGAGTTTAAATTAACACTAAAACTTTGTGTAATTAAAAAATTTTGTTTTAAATTCAGTTTAAAATATCTTCAAAACTTTGTGAATTGAGGAAATCAATTTTGTTTCTTCAAAAGGAATCAGTTAGATATTTTGTGACGTGAGGTTTTGAAGTTCCGCAGAGTTTGTGCTTTGAAGAATTCAATTCAATTGAAGTTTCACAGAGTTTGTGATTTGAAGAACTCAATTTTCAGCCTGAATTGGAATTTTGGCCCTAATCAGACTTTTGTTCCAAATTGGTCTTTTGGGCAGAATTGGATTTATAGCCCAAATCAGAGTTAAAGTGAGATTTTTGAATGAAGTGAATTGAGGAATTCAAATTTCTTTGTTCAAAATTATCATTCCTGTTAAGCTGAACTAAGAGGTCCTTTTAGTTTTAAGCTGGAGGCCCAATTGGCCTTCCATAGAAGCTAGCATGAAAGTCCACACACAGTGCAGCTTTTGAGCTAGTTCACTAATGTGAGCATGACTGGCACTGATAGCAGGCAAATGGCAAGTTATTCTACAAGATGATAGTTATGTCGTACATATTTGATGAGAAAATCTACATATGAAATTAGTATTGTTCAATGGTGGATTTGAAGGTAAGCCATATTAATAATGATATGATTAAATGCTTTTAATTTTTTTATAATAGATGATTAATCTTGTATATTTGTCATATGTAATTGGAAATATGAATTTGTATTACATACTCTTGATAGTCTTTTTATAATTCTGGTGCAGTCGGTTACAATAAAATTTGCTGATTGTATTTTTCCTGTTTTTATTATTTATGTTGTTTCTTACCAATTTTCTTTTAAAGATTTATTTATTAGAAATTCATAAGTGTTTGCATAATATTATTCAGTTCTTTATAAAATAATGATAAGAAAGAAAATATATAGACAATGTGGATATAGGAATCAACACTATATAGTGACTGTCAGTCACCATGCAGTGTTGATTCTTATGCCCACACTGTCTATATCTATAAATACTCTATATCCAATATTAAAAACTCACCTTTTCTCATCCAACTCCAGATAGGTCTTGTGATCTGTCAGTTTAGAAGCCCCTCCACATTCCAAGGTCTTCTGTTAGTATAAGAAGATTGTAGCCATCGTTGGCTTGCATATAGTTTACAGCATCTGGTACTTCCCAGTGGCCACCCATCTGAATACTGACCAGGCTCAGTGTTGCTTAACTTCAGTGATCTAATGAGAATTGGTATTTCAAGTTGATATAGCTGTAATATATATTATATATTGACTACTTTCTCTTATAAATATGGTAAATTTTAAACAATAGGAACACACTTGAAACAACCTTCATAAAATTATACCTCACTTTTGAAATACCTTACATGATGTTCTGATTTAAAAAAAAAAAAAAAAAAAAACTTTTGGTAAAGTATTTCTTTTTACAGTACAAATCAGTACAGGTATGTTTGCTATCTTTGAAAGTTATTGGTGTAAATAAGATACTATTGTGAATATTTAGACTGTTTTCTTGTCTGTTTTTTTTTCTTTTTTTATCACAGCATTTGAACCAGCCAAAGAACTCACAGGCACTAAATGTCATCTGTATGAGAAGGAAATCATATGCCCCATTAAAGCAACATTTAACATTCAAAATAAAATAAAAAGTAAAAAAGCAGAATATACTGTAATCATAATGTTGTGATAAAAATCCAATAAAGATGGGGGAAATTGGTCTAACAAACAAGATTAAGAATAAAATACATTTTAATCTACAGCCTCTTACCATCAGTTTAAACTGACACTATCATTTTTCTATAAATCTAAATGATAATTAAGAACTATAAATTTCAGAAAGTTTTCATCAGAAATCAAGGAAATATAAACTTTAAGCAAAGTGTCAGTTTAATCCATATCCTATTAGCATCAATTTTTCCCATATATCTAAGCTATAATTATAAACTAGAATTTTAGAAAGTAAAAATTTTTCTGAAATATATCAAAAAAATTTCCAAGTTTTCATTTGAAAGCAAAATAGTCCAATATATATAAAAAAAAAAAAAATGTGTCATTTTAAGCTAATGCCAGGAGGATATGGGTTCACTGATTTTTAGCAATTAAGATTTGTTTGAAATGTGCTTATATATTTTTACATGGAAAATTCTGTAAGTCTAGTAAGTTAATTTTGGGCCCCTTGGGCCCCATTTTATAAGTGTGACAGATCTTCCCACTACTTTCAGGTGACAATGGATTTAAAGGGCTTTTGGGTTCAGGAGGAGATGCTATGGACATCCAGTTCACACCCAAACGGGAGAGATTCACATTCCGCGAGAAGCATTTAGAAGTTTTGGAAGCTTACTTCAAAGAAAACCAATATCCATCGATGGAACTCCGCGAGGAAATAGCTCACCTCTGTAACATGGCTCTAAGCAGTACAGGTGAGATAATTTTGTTTTAAGCCAAACAGACCAGCTAGTTAATAATATTCATTACTGTTTGCATCTCCATCATACAGTATTCTGTTATATTTTCTTAATCATAGTTGTGTAGTAAGAATTGACTTATGATTGGTAGAGATATGGTCATTATTTCATTTTTCTTTCAAGGCCGAGAACTATGTGAGAAGGAGAAGGTTACCCCGCAGATTGTGTCAAATTGGTTCAACAATCGCCGTAAGGAGATGAAGAAGCTAGCCAAAGAAGGTATGTACATATATATATAATTTTTTTATACTACTTCATTTTATTTGTATATATATATATATATATATATATATATATATATATATATATATATATAGTAATGCAAATGTTTTAAATTTTTTTTTTCTGGCTAACCCTTTTATTTATATAAATTAATAGAATTATTTAGTTAACAAAGTATTTCTTTCTGGTTGCCTATGACCTTATGCCATCTTTTCAGCTAAATTGTTTATTCTATAATAAAAGAATAAAGTCTGGTTTTAATTTTTCAAGATCTTAATTTCACAAGAAGTATTGCATGGAAATTATAGTCTGCAAATGATAAGTCTGAAGAATACATTACCTTTAGAAGCATTTTGTATCCAAGTCCAATAATCATTTGTTGTATAATAAGGATGCATGGCAGTCATGTACTAAAATCATTAGTTTACTTACTTTCCCAGAGAGAGTCTTTTTCTCTTCCAATGTAAATGAATTAACTGATTTTCCCTTTTTCTTCAAGTTTACCTGCTATTTGAGTTGCAATTTCAAACAAGTTTCTCAATTCATTAGTTTTTCAAACTTTGTAAACTTTTGCCTTAACATGTTTAACTTTATCATTACCAAACACTTCAAAAATCCATTGCCAAGTTTCCACTGCATGTTTCTCTAGATTAAGTGCAAGAGTAAAAATCAATAAATCTGTAAGTTTTATTTAGTTATAATTATTTACCAAAATAGAGTAAAATCATCACTTACTGTGCAAACAGTTCTTGAAGGGATTGCATGCATACACAATAAAGTGGTACCTTTTTTGTTTAAAGGTAAATAAATAAAATCAAACTAACAAATTCTCTTTTGTATGTTAAATCATTTTCTTATTCAATTAAACTGTTTCTATTAAGATAACTTACTTGGCTGGGCTTAATATTTTGAAAGTAGATAGAGCTTTTTTTTTTTTAGTTACAGGTTTTGCAACGTATTTTGGCATGGATTTTGAAGAGTATTGTTAACATTTAGTTAAATTACTTACCAACTCTGATTTAGAGATTTCCTTTTTCTCATGGATTACACCTGAAGAAGGTAGAAGAATGGATCTGTCAAAACTGTATCAAAATAATGGATATGTTTACCATTCTCAAAGTTATACAGTACTAAAATTAAAAATTTGTCACTAATATTTTTAATACTTTTCTGTGTTTCATAAATCACTTTTAATTTTGTTTGTGTCAGCACACACAGACATTGATAAAACCTGCACATTTTTAACATTTTTTATTGTATAAAGTTCTTTGGAATGTAATGTATTTTGGCAAACAAATCCTTCTTGAAATGTAATGAATATTAAATTTATCATGAACATAATCAGTATTAACAATGATAAAACTATCACCAAAATTTGCTGTACAGTGATATTAAAAAGTATTGGGCACATTAGAACTTTTAAAATAATAAGACAAACTTGAACTTTCTTGCCCACAAAAAAATGGAGTATCAAAAGGCTGGTTTTTCCCTTGACACCACTATTATTTTAACTACCTTCACTCCTTGGCAATATTCATTGTTCTAAAAAGTGACAATTAGAATTTTAATAAGACCTAATCATATGAAAGTGAATGTATACATTTTCTTTGTTCTTGAGAATTGACAAATAATAAACACTATTTTTTTTATTAGATTACACTATTTATTATTGCTTATTGCAATGGTTGGCAAAACATCCGTTAATTGCCAATTGATTCAAACTTTATAAAATGGTAAATAATGATTTCCTTATAGTTGGTTCATTTATTTTAATTAATAATTGTTTGTAAAATTACGAATAGAACTTTTCATATTTATTTCTTTATAAATTGGTAAATGATAAATATTACATTGCAATTAGCCTTAATACAATTATATTAGTTTTTACTTTTTAAAATGTAAATATAAAATTATTCTTGTAAATAAACAATCTAATAAATAGTGTTTAATATTTTGTTATAAATTCTCAAGAACAAAAAAATGTATAAATTCATTTTTCAGTATATGTTTAAGTTTTATTACAATTCTAATCATCACTTTTTAAAACAATAAACACTACTGAGGAGTTGAAGTAAGTTGAAATGAAAGTCCAAGTTTGCCAATAATAATTTCTATTATTGATACTAACCTAAAACTGAATATAGGATAGACTATAAGGCTGAGTTAAATCTAGTGCTGGGCCTCTAATGTGTTATAAAATAAAATATACATAAATATCATGTCCTAAATTATTTACTAGTATAGTAAATAGAGCATATGAAACAAGTAATTATTTAATTTCTATCAGCATAAAGAAACTCAGAAAAATATGAAAAAAAATATGAGGCAAATGATTCTAACGAAACGCTTGGGTAGATTTAATGATGTTGAAAGATAAACTTGTTCAAGTTAATAAGTTTTGTTAACCAAACGCATTGATAACTGTCCAAAATATAAGTACTTTTATTCAATCCTAAATGAATTTAAATAAAATATTTAAAATATAAGGACATTTATTCTAAATATATGTAATTATGTTCACAACATTAGTTAATTCAAATGTAACAATAATAACATGAAATCAGAGCCAGGTTAAGCTAAACCTGCAGAATATGTTATAAAGCATCACTAAATTTTAAAATACTCATGAACATTACATCATATTTATTAGTATATAAAAGGTAAATACTTAACTTCTAAGTGGTACATTTGATAACGAAGTGTTCACTCTGACATCCAGTGTAAAATATATATGATTGTTCCTTGTCATGGTAGAGGGCTTACTTGTCCCCATGATCCCAAGAGTGAAGCCATCTGGAGTTCCAACTCCTGTAGGGCCACTCATGACAGGTTGAAGAGGAAGCATCAGACTGAAAGTGACCAAACCCCCGATCCCCCCCTCGGCCAGGAGAAAATTTGACACTCACAGGATAGATTGAAGGCAAGAAAGCTTCATAGTATTTAATGTAGGGCCCAAATATTTGCTACTTTTGTTACTAGCTTAATCTGACACTGGTCAACATTTAAATCAAACTTCCATCTGTGTTAAGGTCTTGATGAAAAGTCGGTAGAATATGGCAGATTTCCTCTAGTATGAACTTGGACTCACAATAAAGCTTAATAATCACAGCAAATTTTTATTGTCAATTTTTTTTTTTTTAATTGTTATCGGCTGTGTGGGTAGCATAATGAATAGTGACTCAGAATGTGAAGTCACTTGAGTTGAATTCCAGTCAAGTTTGTTACTTTCACTTACTTGGGAAAGGTAAAAATCCATCTCTTCTCACCCCCCAGCTATGAGTTAAATAACAGTGCAGACTGGGCTCTCTAGCTGTGTTTAGCAATCAGTCTGGGAGATAACAACTCTGAATTCAAAACTGTATCAAATCATGGGTTGTTCTTTGGCAATGAATAGCATCCAGAAGCCACCTCAGGTAGTAGATGTTGGATGCGGTTATTGATAGACTCTGACAGACTAGATTGTTGCCATTGAACTGCAATGGTATCATGCAAAGGATCCTTTATACTGGACAATAGATGAGTCCTAATTATTCTGAGCCAGATGGAAACTACAGAAACACATATAATAGTACCGTGTGTCTCCTAATATAAGTGCAACTGAAACCTCTGCCAATAATACACAGATAACCTAGTTTAGTTTTTAGTTTCAAGTCAATGACTTGAACAAGCAAAAAGGAAAAATGTACTCTTAAAATTTCCATTTTTGCTCAGTAAAATATGTGTTATTCTCAATAATGACAATATGAACCACACATTTAATAAAATAAACTCAGAAAATCAAATTTTTAGGTTACACTATTTTAATACATCCTTTTTAGATATCTGGGAAGTGTTTTAACAGGACAGAAAATGCAACACTGAAATCCAAAGTTGCTTTGGGATAGCAAAAGATGCCTTCCAAAAGCTAAGCAATGTAATACTTTGCTTAGCTTTTGAAAGGCAGAAACAGAAAAAATTTATTAGAAACAAAGAAAAGATTACTGAACAGTTACATAATATCAATCTTCCTATATAGCAGTGAATGCTGGACAATCTCCTCACAAATGAAAAAGAGACTTAAAGCAACAGAAATGTAGTTCTACAGAAGGATTTTGAGAATAGCATGGACTGAACATGTGAGCAATGACAAGTTTTTAGAGAAAATGGTAACAAAAAGGACACTTGTGCTTAACATCAGAAAGACTTGAAATTTCTTGGGCACGTAATGAGGACAGAGCACTTGGAAAATTTGACACTCACAGGATAGATTGAAGGCAAGAGGGACAGATGAAAGCAATGCATAACCTAACAGGCTTGAGTAAATGAATAGCAGAACAGGGTTTTTTAGAGAGATAAGAAAACAACAAAATTTATTAACAGCTACACAATACAGGAAATTGTGGAGAGCCATAATTGCCAATGTCCTGATGGAATACGGCATATAGAAGAAGCAGCTTAATAAGGAAGTTTATTGCTACTCCCATGGCAAATGTTCAGAGGAGAGTGCCACCAGTTCAGACCTTTACAGCCAAGATTGCTAAGTCCACAGGGTTGAATCACCCTCATTCTCTACATATTCCATTGGTATGTTTAACTCATAGCTATTTTCCAAAGATCAGACTCTCACATGGATGCTCCCCCAAACACACCTTCAAGTCAGGGGGTCACTCATTATATATCCTCATAATCTTCATTTCCTAATTCCACCTCTTACATTCATATCACGCACCACATTCAATAACCCTTTATCTTTGGTAACTTGTAGGCCTTGTATTGAGTGAACATTAGTTTTAATAAACAAAAAGCAATAAACTCATTCAACCCTGAGATCTGACCACTTGCAAATACACTATCCCTTGACATTTTGGGTGAATTTCATTATTTAAGAACAAACCGGCATTGAAGAGCAGCAAATGGGCAGTACGAAGTTGCTCATGTGAACAGACTTATTGCATTTATATTTTAGGCCATGTAATTCCATTTAGCAATTAAACAGTGTGCTGGTAAACTACTGGGAG